GTCTCATTAGAAAACCCATTGCATAGAATTAAGTACAAAGATATAAGGCCCTCTCGACACATTTAGAGGTATTTCACAATTGACCAGTGCATTGCGCAGTTACCTTAAGACCAGCTACACATTGAAATAGCTGTAACATGATAAAAAACTTCAACCAGCTGTAAAGTTAGACCTCAAAAATGTATACTAACTTTATAGCTGGTTGCTGTTGGGCTTTAATTTGCACATGTAGTAGGATCTCCGTTGTGGCTAGGAGCCCTTTCAGCTGATGGGGCTCCCAACTGCAATGGTGCAGCACCATGCCCAGCATGAAAGCCCCAAGCCCTAGGGCTCAAGGCAGCCATGACCTGTCAGGCTCGGGGGTGAAAACCCCTGAACCCTGGGGATTGAGGCAGCCACATTTGCTAGGACTTGGAGCGGGGTCGGGGGTGAAACCCCTGGGCCCTAAGGATTGAGGCAGCTACAATCCACAGGGCCTGGGGGTTTAACGCACCCCCAAGTCCTAGGGATCATGGCTGCCATGGTTCCCCAGCCCTTAGCGTACGTGGGACACTCCTGTGACTGGGAGTCCCCTCAGTTGAGAAGCTCCCAGCCACAGGAGCTTGCTTTCTGGTGCATGGGGAGCCTGCGACAGGTCTCCCCCTGTGCCAGTGCTAAGGTGTGATGAGATCTAATGCTCAATACAACAATCGCATGGCATGGCAGGAGGTGCGATTGTGTGGATTGTGCATTAGATCCCATCGTGCCTTTACCTGCACATGTAGAGGGTGTCTGAGTCTCCACAGGATCATGGCCTTATTGCTTAATCTTGCAAAGAGGCTGGCAGTAAGGGTATAACAAGGCAGTTTTTGTGCCTAAGTGATGGCAGCAGCCAGGCCGGCTGTGGCCATTGCTTCTATTTTTGTGCCCCCTTCCATCCCCCCGTTACGTTGCTTGGTTGACAGTTTGGTTTTCGGTTTGTGAGGCACCAAAACATATGCATAATCTCATAACTAAATGTTTTGCCAGGGAAAGGTGTCACATTGCTCAGCAGCTTGCAGGATCAAGCCTATAACTCTTCTAGGAGAACTGGCAACAGGCTTAAGAACCAGTTTATCATGTCCTTGTTAATGAAGTACAGCTCACCCCCAGCGGGTCTTTAACAGTTAAGGCAGACATGATCAGCTCTGAATGTTGTCAGTTTCTATTAGAAATGTATTTAAATGTAGGTTTTAGGGCCTTCATTTAGGTGCACTTTGTTCTGATTTTAAAACTGTTTCAGTCTGCTGATAAGCAAACTGCAACCAGCTGCCTACCTAAACTTAAATCACATGTGGAAGGCTTTTCAGGATTATATTCCAAGTAGATGAAGCTATGCAACCTGTATATTTCCTTGCAGTGATTGACTGAAGAATAGCCTAGTGATTGAGAAGTACTAGTGAAAAATAAAGATATGACAGTGGCATCAAGTAAAACTAGCAATGGAGTTTCAACCCTTGGAAGGTGGCAAGACTTTGAATTCCTTTCAGAGATGGTCTTAAGATCATTTAAATATCTTCCTGTCTTTTAAAATCCTAACAGAAAGGCTTGCTGTGGACTTTCTGAAGCTAATTCTCTGAGTAGTCTCATGTCTGCTATTCTTCCTGTAACTTTGACAGTTTACAGTGATACTTTTTTACTTGCTTCCAGTGTAGGCATATGGGGAGTTTTCATTCCCCCCCCCCCCCCCCCCCGATTAGGACTGGTGCATTTGGGTGGAAAATGCGTGTAGTGGCTTAGCACTTATTGCTGTGTATCTGAAGTGGGTATTCCATTGGCTGTTGCAAGCCTGCTTGATGTTGAGACATTTAAATAAATGGCAGATGCAGTGGAGGGGAATGGATTTGTAAATCGGGTATTGTACAGAGTACGATGCACTTAAAAAAATGTACAACAGGTTGTTTCAATGTATCGATGCATGTCTTCTTTATTCCCATTACAAAATAAATAAATGTTTGGAAAGCATAAACTAAATTTCTATCTTGCGATGCAAAGTAGGTTCATCCAATATGTGACCTCAAAAATGCTTTCTGGAAATGCTTTTTTTTTACTTACATAAAGAAAATATATCTATGGGTAACAAGAGGGAGAAAGTAGTAGTATGGATGTCAGTCAGATATCCATCACTGTGAGGAGTTAATATGTGTATCTGCATTTCATTCTAATTGATGGGTCTCTCTGATGTTTGAAAAGCGTTAAATTGCTGATGCTCGTGTGATGGAATGTCTATTGTCAAAGTATGGATGAAAACTGAGCCTCATCACTGCAGTCAGTTTAAAAATGATTTGTAGAGAATTGACTTTGAATGTTTGTATTAGAGGTCAGAGTTCCACTTAGAAGGCTCATGCTGCAGTGGAAACATCTAGAAGTGCCACAGAGATGCTTTAATATTAAATAAATGGTTTAGGTAAGAATACCAACTTAGCAATGATTTTGCTTTATTAAATTGGAAAAAAAGTAACTGGAGCAAAGCAGCCAGGACAGTTTCTAAGCAAATTTATCAGTCATTCAGAAACTCTGCATTTAAATACGTCTAAGTTATAGATCACTTGATCCAAACGGCAGCCCTTTATTGACGTGCAAGTACAATAAAGTGTTGCCTTGACTGAAATTTCATTCTTAATCCAACGTTCTACTTTTGAAGTCAGACCATTAAAGTTATTGTATGTATACATCATAGTAGCATTATTTAGATAGCAAGTAAGATGAAATCTCTGTACAAAAATGAACATGTGAAACCATTGATGGCTCCAAAATGATTTTGAAGGACATTTATACATATTTATTTTATAACTATTTGGGGTGGGGGGTATTCATTGGATTACTCCTCTATTAAAGAATTATAGATATCAAAGGCATAAAATATTGTTCAAATTAAAGGAAAGTTCCCTTGTCAGTACTGGAATGTTTTCTATATCCCTCTAATATATTATGCCATTAAATGATGCTTATTCTTTGAAACTAAATGGAGAATTGACATTGAGACTAAGTACAGATAGTCAAAAAGCCCGGGGCTTAATCAATTCAATCTTCACAGGTTTCTCTGAACTGCATAGAATAGACCGATAATGAATGAACTGATGTTCACTTTTGAATTGGAAAGGCAGCCAGATGCCTGCAGTAGCCCAGACCAGAAGCCATGGGGCACTAGAGCACACCTTCTAGCCTGCTGACCACTGCTGAGGGCACCCGAATGCAGCCAAGCTGGACCCATCCTTAACTGGCTGCCGAGCACTTGCCCCCGGCAGCCCAGGGCGGGGAACAGTCCCTCCAGCTCAGGGTCCAGCCAGCACTGAGCATCAGTCCACATGTGGGGGATCCCTGTACCTCTGGGAGGTTTCCCCCACCTTGGCCAGGGTCCCCCCAAGTCCTGTGGTTGATGCAGAGGGGTAATCTGTCCCCTACCATCCCTCAGTGCAGTCCAGTGCCAGCTTGGCCTTAGGCTGGAGGGAGTCTTATCTCCCTCCACCTTCCCCCCACACCAGCACCTGTAGGAGCAGGTCTAAGCCATCACTAGACCACATGGGAGAGTTTCATAGATTTTATAGACATTAGGGCTGGAAGGGACCTCGGAAGATCATTGAGTCCAACCCCCAGAGTTCGAGGGGGAAATTACCCCTCTGCACTGGCATCAGGTCTTGGGGAGTGGGGGGGAACGGGAATACCCCCTGAGGTGGTGGGATCCCTCTATGTGAGGTGCTGGCTCAACCGTAGGCTGGAGGGACTATCCCCCGCCCCCCTCCCCCACACCCAGTGGTGTGGCAAAGGTGGCACTGGACCATGCTGAGGAATTGGAGGGGGGGGAGGTTATTCCCCTCTATATCAGCAGCGGTGCTCAGGGGAGCCTGCTCAAGACAGGAGAACCCTGCTGTGGCTTGGGGATCCCTCCCATGTAGGCTGTTGTGGAGTACCAGCTCAGCCCCAGGCTAGAGGGACTGTTCCCCCAGCGCCTTTGGGGGTGGGGCTAAGCTGGACCATGCTGAAGGGTGGGAGGTGGGTACTGCCTCTCTGCACTGGCTGCAGGGCTTGGGGAACCCTGCCTGCTACGGGGGACCCCCTCTCAGGCACAGCGATCTGGGCTGGCCCCGGACTGGAAGGACTGCTTCCCCCTCCCTCCCACCTGCATGTCGGTGACTTTTGTGGGCTCCAGGGGAAAGCCTCATATGTTAGGGATTAGGCCTGAGCTGGAAGAGTTTCTGTTCCCCCTTCTCCACTCCAGCTGTCCTGCCAGGCGGACAGGCACAGCCTGGACCAGGGCTGAACAACAGAGGCTTCACTGCCTTGGCTGCATGACAGCCCAGGGGTGGGGGTGACCTTCCTTGGCTGGAGCAGGCAGCAGGGACCAAGGCTAGTCTGCCCGTCCTGCGAGGCAGGGTTTGTGGCGGAGGTGCAATGCGTTCTGGGATATTGGGGGACTATGAGTTAACTTGAATCTGGAGGGGATCTGGGACAGAAATTTGATAGACTGGTTTAACCTAAATCAATTAAGTTTGATCCTGCATTTATCCAGATCTATCTTAAACCTGTTTCGGTCATTTTGAAACCGGTTTATATACATTGAATGTCTGTTTCCGTTACAGGTTTAAACTGGTTTCTGATTAGGTAAACCGGTTTGTGTGTAACATCTGTCCTTAGCCTGTATGATTGCATTAGAGGCCAGAATTCCATTCAGGGGCCTTATGGTGCCTCTGAACACTGGAAACGCTGACTCTCAAATGCTTCTGATCAGTATATTTAAGTTTTACACACAGAATGAAGTATTGCGAACCTAATTCTCCCTTCAGGTATGCATGCACAGTTCTCTTGGACCTTTTGGGAAGACAGAAACTGGATCTGCAGAATTTTAAATATTTGTCATGCACACTGGAGCAAACACTGATATTTCCCTCCCCCCCCC